CAAATCAATTTCGACTATTTATGAGCAGTTTGGAGCTCTGTACAATTTGTTTTCCACCGTAATCATTTGCGTACAGTCCCTTTTCTAACAATGTATGGTTATTTTGGCCATTCTGTCCCAAAAGTAGGACAGTGGACTGAAGTTTCCTTGCCGCTTTGGCACCTCAGCGCACACTTCTTTGGCCGTTCATGAATTTGTGATCCTTAAACCTGGTACACGAATCGAGCATATCCAATTACTTTATCAGCAAATGGCGGACGCTCCTGCATTATAGATGCTGGACAGATGAACATGTTCGCACTTTGAGGGATGTGAAGATTGGAAGCAACTTAGTGAACTTATGGATATATTGGATACGTGCATTGAACCGCTTGTCAGCATTAGGATTTTTCCGAGTATCATCTTCGTCATGGATCTGGGCAACTTCGAGCCCCTAATTATCGATCTTGGCGGGGCAGTTAAAATTGAATCAGAAGCGTCTCAGGAACCAAAGTGATAACTGTCGACAAAGTAGTGGTGCACAAAAGAACGCCCTCCTGCGCACGGTAACAGTTCGTAGGAAGAACGTTTTTGCATAGTAATTTTTTGTAGTTAGCTAAGTGCTTCTCCGTTTAAAATTCCCATAAAACGATTCGACTTTTTAGAAACTTACGCTTTGTCGCTCACAAAGATGATTTTCTGCTATCTTCAGCACCTTAGTACATTACCGATCGATATGATTGTCTTTTGATTCAGTTACAAATAGAGTTTAACCATTACCAATAGACGGTAAAAATGTGGATGCCTCAAGAGAACACTAATTTACAAAATAAGTTGTCGTAAAGGTAAGGCACAACTACAGTTTGGCTGAATTCATCGCTCACAATGTTCCTCAACCGAGCTTGCCACAACGAGGCCGCTTCGCGTTTTATTTGACACTATATTTAAGGTATCAAAGTGATTTTCTTGCTAAGCAATTTCTTGGAGGACCAGTGAAAACATCTGGGCAGCCCACCACCGATCAAATCTTAACCAACCGATCAGTTAAATTGGACCGGTATAACAAAATCCCCATACTGATATCAAAATTCACGCATTATTCTCCATTTTGTCCCTGAAATCTCATGTTTTAAAAGAAATTTTATAAAGTCATGTGCGTTACAACATACAAGCAGAGCCTCGGGGACATGAAAGGCTCGTTCTAAAAAAAACATGATTATTCTTATAATAGTGGGGAGAATAAATAGCTATTAAATAACTGGTCAGTGTACATTTATAAATACATACATCATAAATGTTTACATTTCAGTAGCCCTAGAATTTGACGGACGTTTGATTACACATTAAGTTTCTTCTTTACGAGATAGTCAAAACGAGTTTTTGGTAAGCCACCAACCCTTACTAAGCACTGTCCGATAACATCTTATCCGAATATCAGATTACAACAATGGGACTGTGTCCACAAAAGCATTTGCAAACTAATGTTGGGCCAGCACATTTGTATATCCATTAACCTAATAGCGACAAAAATTACTGCAACAGCAAATATCGGCCAGATTTATCCGACATATCCACACCTTAATTTTCAGCCGACGATATTCGTTCAGAAGACTGCGTCGACAAATCTGAGCAGTCGCTGACTGAGTGACTGAATATACTGAAAATTATTGAAATGTCGACCAGTAGGCCATACCGATAATGGAAGCACACGTTATAGACAACGACAAAATGAAGAATATACGTGCCTCAACATCTTCCCCTCGATATCCTTTACCAGTTATGACAGGGACAGTGGACACACTTTGAACACCATATAAGGACAACTTAATGTTTATTTCATTGGAGATCGGTACAGCTGTACAATAAAGCTGTAAATTGGAAACATAATCTATCCTGCCTGTGAAAGATCAGGAAAGTAAATTCAGTAAAAATACGTAGATTGAGGAAATTTCTTCCGTAAGTGACTGTCTATAGCGAAGGCACCATAAATAATTGAAATGCAAGAAGGAGTCATGCATTCTCCCGTCGGTTCTTCAAAGGCTTCAATTCATTGCTTTACCAAAATTCGTACGCTGTTTGTGTTGTAATGCAGGTCAAACGACGTGCAACGTTTTAGCTAACTGATTCGCAGTAATCGGCTTGTCTTTGCAGCACATGTTTCCTGCCACAAAAGTGTCTATGGGAGGGCTGCGAGACAACTTTAGCTAAAAAAATACTTCTGACGAGTTATCCAGGTCAGCATACACAAAGGTTTCCAAACTTTTGATTGTAGGGCAGCTGATATCATCATTCTGCCGCATAACAGATGGTTTGTATGACATTAGTCTGGCTGCAATTAACTAGACGTCATTTTTATCCATTCAAACAGACGAAGATCTTCCACCAGGCACCGTACGTTTTGTGCTTTATTCATTTCATAGTACTTCCAGTGGATAAGTAGCTGAAACTTTACCGATATTTTTATCCAAAGTAGTTCCTATTGCAGTTTGTCCAAACCTAAACTTTTGTCAGGTAATGAATTTCCGATTATTTAGGCAGTTACTCAACTTCCATTAAGCCTTATCGCTTTAAGATGGCAAACGAATGTACGTGGGACTTTTGCAATTTTGACGTTCCATTCCTCTGCCGCCGTATATTGTCTCAAATGTCTCCTCACGAACTGCTCTGAACAGCCAATTTTTATCTATTTTTCGGATGTCCCCGAAGTCGGCATCCATCTTTTTTATTCGCAACGATCCTACGGGTTCCGTGGACCAAATATCTTTTGTGACACTTTTTCGTATTCTGTTGAAATCGATCAAGTGACCAGGCCATATGTGTTTTCTGCAGTGATTCATCCTACCTTGTATCCAACGAAACTCTGAGAAACAGAAGTTCTGATTCAACTCTTCCCCCACCGGTGAAGCCCAACACGATGTAGAAAGGGTTAAGAAGCGTATTTAGTTGACACTTTCCGATATGCGAATCAAAATATCCTTCATAGAATGTAAGTGTCCTACAGTTTGGTTCTTTAACTTCGTTGCCCGTATGAGTATCGGCTGCGGTGGGATGAGGTAGAGAGCCCATGGCGAATTTATCCTTCACAGTTCATGTATTGCCACTAAACACACATTATGTATTCAAAGGTCGTCTAAAAAGTAGTTTTTTTAAAGTCAGTGAGAAGAGTGCAGGAAAAAACGGCAGATTGGCATTACAATTACTCATATAATTAACAAATTCGAAAAAATGCCAATCAGCAAATAAGGACGAGATATATGAGGAGCGTCTGTTTACAACATGACCATTTCGAGAAACTCCGGAGAATCCGAATAAGTCTTGCTATAATATGTGCGTAACTGTTTTTGAACAGCCTAAAGTAATTCTTTTAACCACCAGACGGTTGCACGTCAGGGTGAGCGGCCTAAGTCAATTATTGGCCACAGAAGACGGATAAACCTGTAGATTTTTTAGCGGTCATACGTATAAGCGATGGGTAAGCCATTAAATCCCATCACTTTTGTAATATTATTCTGCAACCGTCTGTCAGACGTCCTGGAAACGCAGTCAATCTTCGTCCCGATATTAAATGCCTCATAGTTTTCTTGGACTTTACAAGGCTTTAATTCATCTGGAGGCATGTCAGCAGCAGTACTTATTTAATTACTTTTATTCGGTAGCAAGTTTCAAAAGCCTTAAGCAGAAAATATTAAATATTATTTCCTCTTTCTTTCGGAGCTTGTTAAGGGGATTTGTTCACACAAACAGTGATTCAAATAGTACTCAAATGGCGAAGCATGCAAGCATTTTATTGCCCAGTGTCCACTCTCCACCCCTGTATCTGAAACAAGGTGTATAGTACTACAGAAATTATTGAACTAATTTGCAGCATTCGTTTATAGTTGCTTATTGCTCGAACGGCTTCCAAAACGTTCAGGAGAATGTTCGAGGTGTTTAATTTTATGTCTAATGGCTTGTGATTACATAGTTTGTACTTGCCAATAAGCAACTTGACAAAGAAGGGCTTTCATCCTTTCAGTTCTAGCGTCCATCGTCGTATGAAGTGGTCCCTAACCGGTTATGTTTGGGCAGCCCATTTGGTAGCTGGTGGATTAAAATGGATCATATTTTGTGTTCGTCAAACAGGTCATCAAAGCTGAATGAAGTGCGTGGCTCCGGGACAAATGAAGCTTGAGATCTACGGCCAGTAGCCCTACAGTCTGTAACAAAACCAAGCATATATTACTGGAAACTGCTTCAGGCTACAAGTGTGTCAGCTTAACATCAGCAGCATAAAGATACTAAAGAGAAAATGTGGTAGCTTACCTAATAACCTACGGATTAATATCGCCCTAAGAGTAGGGAGTGAAATGTAAACGTCCCTCCTCTCTACTCTTCCCTCCTTGACAAACTAACCCGTTAAGAAAATGGAAAGAGAAGTTATCGCGCTGTGCTAACTAGAATTGAACAAATCGTCCGGCTCAGTCAGCCGCAGACTGTTACTAACCAAGATCGAAGTCTTTAATTTTGTACACTTTTTGAATAGAATACTATCTATTGATTAGGCGGTGCTTCATGCAAGTAAGTTCCCAGCTTATGACCATCGAAAAATTGTCGCAGGGGCCAGTCTGTAGGCCTTTGTGTTTCCTTTCCAAGTGAATGATTTAGTCGGAGACAGTAAAAGCTTATAATGTATTTTCGGATGGTCAGAAACCTAATCTGATGGGTTAATCAGATTTTTTGACGGGAATTTCGATCTCATCATACGTTGTGAAGAGTGGAAATATTGCAAAACATTTTCTGGAGGCCGATGGCTTAAATGTGTAGTAAATGTGTGTTAGAAAATGGCGAGGATGGGAATTCAGGCAGTGGCTGATGCATAGAGACTAGCATGACTCCAGTACACACTTACGTAAGGACTAAGTACTAATTTCTGACTTATTTTCCCCAACACTATAGAACGGGATACTCCATGTAAAGGTCATGCAATCTCCGACATTAAACTCATGGAGCTGGATAACTAAACGAAGTAAAGTACAACAGACTGACTTCGAAGAACTTATTGTTGACGCTCGCGTATGATCGTACAGGCAAAAGAATACAGTATACAAGTATACAGTATACAGTATACAGTATACAATACAAAAGAAACGCGCAGCTTGCTGGCAAAGATAAGCATTTGGTTTGTGGAGCCAGTCACTCGCATTTAGAATGTTTCTCATCCGTAAGGATACCATATCCACTGGAACGCCATCAGAGTTGCTACTCCAAGCACTCTTAAAGAGATTCGTAGGCTGGCACCCTTGCAGATGAAATTATATCGGAAGTCTGGGCCATCTGTAGAAGTAAAGATCACTTTTCAGGTACGATTTGAGAAATGTATAGAAACATTCGGTTTGATCACAGAATAAACGTAGCCTTTGATACCCTCCTCTGTTCATATAATTATTGAAGTTAACATACCAAAATCAGTGAATAAATATCAAGTAAAGTGCAGCCGCAATACAATTGGGAAAACAGTTGGTTCAAGCTAACCACCAGGATGGCTTTTGGATGCATACATCCACGCACAGCCGCGCACACCGACCACTATTCAGTCCTCCTAAGGCCATCCAGTTTGTAACTTTAGCCCAGCTGTCTGGTTCTTGTATGAGCCATTGTAGTGTGACTGCAGTTTAATTGGTATTTGCTAATACCCTTGGTCGATTCACCCCCCCCCCGCCCGATTATGTGACCTGAGAAGAAATAATATATTCGTCAACCTGTCTTCTGCAAGTGAAGTAAATCTAGACTACCGTAAACAGCAACAAAGCCTTTGATGGCTTTAAGGTACTGAACTGATAAGCTTGAAGTTCATACTTACAGCCCATAGCTCAACACACTCATGCTCTGAGTAAAACCCTGGCAAATGGAAAGTTTCAAAGTTTTTTCTGAAAAAAATACAATACAGCTTTATCAGAGGGAGTCAATTCACGATACCGGTCCATTACTAAACGGAGTCGACTCCATTTTTCAGAAAAGCAACATCTTGGGAAAATGTCTAGTGATCAGATGAAAGTTGTAAAATCTGCTTGGATTTCTACACTAAATTTACTAACTAAGGAACAATCGTTGACTTTTATCGCACTTGTCGGGTTCTCCGTTCATTAAAACGAACGGAAACTCCATCACGAAAGTCAGTTACATTTTAGGCGCATTCAAACGCGTTGTCCACGTATTTTATCTTAAAATTAATGTCTTAGACCAAGAGAAATCAGTGTTAACTACAAATGTCTCACCCCATGTAGCGCCAGGGATACATTGTGCTTTAGGAATTATCTGGAACTGATTCACAGGTGAACTCATTTTCCCAACACCCCCACGGCTGTAAGCGTAGACTCGGAGGTAGTATCGCTTGTTTGTCTCTAAACCGCGAACGTATCCGAAAGTGTTCAGACCAACGTCTACGTCTGTGAATGTCTGTTTAAATTGCGATCCAACAGGCCAATAGCGGATACAGTATCCTTCGATCGACTCCTCATCCGGTTTGGCCTGGACACCAACCCATGAAACACGTATCGTGTTTGGCATGTCAGTGGCATTGAGAATAACCATTGTGGGATAGTCTTGTGGTGAAATTTTGAATGTCGTCTGCTCCGTAAAGCTCGATTCCAAGCCATCACCCGCTGTATTAAAAAGCTAAAACGAAAAAATGTTATGATCTGGAGAAGAATGCATGGTACAGGATAAAAGATATTGTTGGTGTTAAATTCGCATACCGAGAATTCCTTAAAACAAATAGCAGCCACTTTCCAAGCAAACCCAGGCAGCCTTTGATGAGAATAAGTTCCAGAATGATACCTAACTGGGTAAAAATGATCGAAATGATTTTCACACATCCTGAGTACACTAAGTGGTAGCTCGTCCATATTTTCCCCTCTAAAGTCATTCCACAGGCGGCACACTCATTTCATAAATTAGTTGAAGTGGTTTCGAACTCATTAGCTGAAAGCCGGAATAGATGGCACGTTCAAAACATCGGACACTGTGAAATATGCAGTTAAAACACAATGTACAATCTCTTAAACCAAGCTGCCTGCGTGGGTTGATCTTGCACATCACAATATTGTTCGTACACGTGCGTACACACATGTAGGCTTATTGAGCACAGCTGTGTACGAGTGATCATTGTTACTGTTTTACCCTCAGGACCACTTTGATGCTATAGTTGGTCGTAATTTATTTGGTCAGATTTGTGCTCGTGTTCAGTAGCTCACCTGTACAGCGATGCAGTAATACGTATCTGCATCTAGGCCAATGATAACTCCCTTGGTGACGTCACCATGAACAGTTTGTCTTTGTCCAAGCTGATATCGAGCTATATCAGAGCGCTCTGAGCGGCAGTCAGACACACGAGGCCAGTAGAGAATTCGATAGCCACCAACTGGACCTTGACCCTCGGAAGGCAATGGTCGGGTCCACCAAACGGTGATCGCAGAAGAGTTCAAAGCACCGGCGGTCACTCCACCAGGAGCGTTTGTTGGGACCCGCGCAGCAGACATGATGGTTACAGGATCTGTAATGGGTCCAACTCCCTAGAATGAACGGAGTTATAAGATGTGCTTGACATTTTCATTGAGAGAACAAGCGTGCAATATCCCCAAGTCGATAAGTCAGCTGGCAAGCTCGAGTATCTTTATGCTAACCATTACATTACTTATAATGAGATGAAAAATTTTTGGGAAGCCAACGAAAACATAACAGGAGAATGTCAGGGGACCACCCTAAATAACGGTTCCTCGCAACTGACTTCATTGCATCTTACTATGGCAGTCCGCTCCTCATTTCCATGAAGCTCTAATGATAGATGTAATATGATGATTCGCCTAGTCAAACAGATCTCTGAAAGCCAGCTCCCCTGCCTGTCGTTTATTTTTCTGTGAAAATTACTTTTAGGGTTACCGCGTGATAAATTCCGCACCAATTCCAACTACGGATCACGTGATCGGTGAGTTGGCAGCCAGATTCTCTCTCGGGATAGGTCACTGCTATTTCAACAACTATTGAGGAGAAACCCTGAAGGTTGTGAGACAGAACGCCTATGGAATCACAGCAATTAGACTGAGATAAAGCGTTTTATTTCTAGCTAACTTGTGCGCATTCGCACAGAACTTCTAACGGCCGGATATAGAGGTTTGGCTAAACCGCTTGTTGAAACTAGACGGTAAAGGTTGTTTTGAGGAAAACATCCAAGGTTAAAATTTCTGGGTATCTACCTTGAAAATTAGATCCAGAGTGAAAGTGTGGTCAGTTGTGCCTCGTCGCCTTCCGGTGGATCGTAATACACTGATTCGAGAGCAGCAAGAGGAATTCCAGCCTGGTAGGGGTTGCGTTGACCAAATCTCCACAATCCGTCAGGTGCTAGAACAACGCCATACGCATAAGCGAAGCACAATTCTAGTATTCCTTGCTTTCCAAGGCGTATTCGGCTCCGTTGTTCGGACTGTTCTTCTTGACACGCTTGTCCATCAAGGAATGCTTGTGAATATAATACGTTCTTTGTATTCTCATAATCCCGGGCGTGTGAGAGCGTGCAGAGAGCTCCCCGAAAGCTTCCCTACGTGTCCGTCATGGATGCCTACTCTCTCGATTCATTTTTAAATTCGTGATCGATGAAATAATGAGACGAACGCTGGAGGGTCTCCAAAACCCTGGTGCTCAAAGAGCCAGTGAAGAAAACCTTGTCAATTTGGAGTACGCAGACGACATCGTTTTCATCTTCGAAGAAAAGGAGAAGGCGCACGTGTTTTTGGATGAACTTATCAAATTCATCCCATCTTTTGATATGCACTTTGCACCCAAAAACTGTAAGGTCATGTACGTGGAAGTGCAGTCACTGAACGCGCCATTTAAAATACAAGGAGAGGTACTGGAAGTTGTGGAGCGTTTTACGTATCTTGGAAGTGGTGTTATATCTGATTGTAGTGTGCCAGATGAGGTCAATGCATGAATCCGCAAGACCCGGGTGGCGTTTGCTAATTTGAAACATCTATGATTTCAAAGCAGTGTATCCCTGAATCTCAACGGACGTTTGTATCGGGCTACAGTTCAGACTGTGTTGTTATATGGCTGTGACACTTGGCCTGTTAGGGCAGTGGAACTGAAACATCTTCATGTGTTCGATAATGGTTGTCTCAGGGCCATAGGTTATGTGGATTGATGTCGGCGTATCCGTAACGAGGCAATTAGAAAGCGAGTTTGCGGTTTTGCAACGGGTACTTCCATTGAAGAATATGTCCAGCACCAGAAGCTGTGTTGGTTGAGACATGTGTTGCGTATAAAGAACCATCGTTTGCCAAAGAGAGTGCTGTTTTCCATGCCCAACTCAGAGTGGCATAAGCAGAGAGGTGGACAACCCTTGATTTGGCACAGGGTATGAAGGAGATTACGAAACGCCTGGGTGCCGTCAGTGCTACTCACCTTCGTGGATGGGGATCTCGAGATCCTCACTGCGTCTGGTTGGAGACACTGCAAGATATGGCTGCCAACCGATGTCAGTGGCTTTCTTGTTGTCAGTTTCTATTCAGATTGCCTGAGGGAATATCTGGAGATGTAGGCACCTCGGAATGATTGTAGTGAGCTAACAGTAAGTCCCTTAACTATCCACCTTTATCCCTATCTCTACAAGTAAGCTTTCATATAAATCATGGTTGTACGCAGTGAAGCATTAGTGTTGAACACTGATGTCATGCTGTCTAGGATGATGATGATGATGATGATGATGATGATGATGATGATGATGATGATGATGATGATGATGATGATGATGATGATGATGATGATGATGATGATATCGAGACCATGTGTCTCAAGGCCTTTCATACCCAGTGGAGCTCATAAGTATGGCAAAAAGGTTAGTCATGTTAAGCTGTAGTTAGAGTAATGGGCTGTTGCCTTACTTTACGGATGACCATCAACCACTGTGCACATAGGAAATGAGGTGCGTCTGATTCCAAAAACTGCCGCGTCGGAGGGTACAAGTAACGAGAGAAAAATAAACGATTTCACTTCTACTGCAGTCCTCAAAAGTCATCCTACTGTTTTATGGAGGGAAGAAAGCTATATGATAAATTCGGCAACCTACCGCACCAAAGTGCAGTGGCCTGAGCTCACTTAGTTTCGAAACTTCCTTTATTTGGTCACAACGGTTTTCGAACTCGTAACCCGAAAAACGAATTCTTACCTCTTATAGACGTAGGTTTGTGATCAAACACTTCGCCCACTATTGCCGTTAATAATCTGTGTTTCATATTTAGGTCAGTTGGTCACCAAAACTAGAGAATAAGACTACAGTAATCCTCAGTTGCATTCGTACATTCCATTGATTGTATAGACGTAGCGGTACAAAGCTTGTAGTTTGACATTCTGTTGAATTTGGCAGTGGGCCGCGACACATTGACTGGAGAATTGGTTCAACAGCGGGCAACTAGTTTGGGCTAACCGACCTTAGGTTATTAGGCTATCTGTCTATTCTGACCAATCAACAACATTCAGGGTATAGAACAACCACCAAGCAATACAGTGAAACGTAACCAAACATTTCCAACTGAACTCCTATAAAAACTCATTCACACAACTTGATTTCATGGAGGGGTACAGGGAGTCAAGCTAATCTATGCACACCCGTCACAGAAGGCCCGCGAAAAACAAAATGTTTCCAGTAATCGGGCTTCCCGGAAACCAACTACAGCTTCCACATCATCCGCTCTGCGTGTGTCCTTCCTCAAACTACTGAAGAAAAGATTGGGTCTTCATACGATTTGTTCACCAAAAATTACAGTTTAGTTGATGCTTGGCTTCACTTTTCGGAGCCAAATCAGCCTACACCGAAGCAGCTGGTTCTCATTCAGACTGATCAGTATTTCTCGCTCTATTTATGGACGAAGGGCCAAAGCCTCACACTTCGAGATGGGAGTCGAACGATCTAGCTTTATGGACAACCAGAATATTGAGCTAGCACTCCTCGGCAGTGCAGATGTACAACATATAACCTGGTTTTGACTAGTCCCCCGGATACTGATTGCTCTGGAAGGGGGAGATTTCCCTCCCTGTGTGTATTACTGATACTTCGCAAGTGGTAAAGAGGGTCACTACAAGAGACTCAGTCGACCCAGACGAAAAGCAGTCAATTGTAAGAATACACGTTAAATACAACTCTCATCCACCATACGTCATTCACTAGCAGTGTCAAGATTCCATCTAGAAAGTTTTCCCCAAACGGGTGTCTTACTTCCTGAGGTTGGGAGATACTTGCAGCAAACTATTCCAAATTCCCAAAATGTTTTGCTCCAACAAAACTAGGTAATTAGCCAAACCGTATATCAACATTATCCCGGTGTGAAAAACGCGTCTCCCGTTTACATATAGAGCTTTTTATTTGGGGTGGGAATAAATTTGTCTACTTTACCCCTAAATATAACCCTTATTATGCACAGTGACCCCTTCGCTAAATACATCGAAGGATCCTTAAAAGTACTGATCTTGACAAAATTAACATTTTTCACGACTGGATACTCCGATCATTAAATGAGTGGATATTCGCTAAGACGGTCACGCTTTTCGATCATGGCGTGAATCCGAGTGCAGAGTCAACATAAATTTCCACGACTAAGGCGAAAATGGAGAGAACCAGAAGAAGACATCCGCGATGACAAAGTGAAAGTTAACCGCAGTAATAAAATTAACTGGACGAGCCAACCTACGCCATGAAGTGCATACCAAAATTCCGCCCGGTGTGACAAGAGTATAGACTCCTGATAAATTAGTATTGCTCAGTATGCTGACTTACTAGAAAAGTGGGTCTAGCCTAAACTCATCCTCTCACAAGGACATTTGGAAATGCTTCCATGGCTTAGTCCTTGTAGATGGCAGCTTTAAGACTGCATTCACCTTTATGTTTGCCTCGGTGTGTGAACTGGCTGCTTTATCCGGCAGAAATGTCACTAATCACTCTCCGTACTTTTGATAGGGAGGCCTATACCTAACTAGCAACCGTTGACAGGATATGTAGGTCGTACACTGTTCTGGCGCACTATCTCAGTTGGTGGTGACAGGTTTCTTAATAACCTAATCTAAACTATCATCAGCCTCATTAGCCTGGCACCTGAGAATAACTTTCTCCCTTTGGAGGGGGAGCCAGGACAGTAGATGGTCACAAAATCACTGAGTTGCTTGATACTATGTGATACTGGGGATGTACAAAATCCAGTTTTGTGAAACTGATTTGACCGGAGCTGCAGTACATGCAATAATCATTTATTGCTTATAATAACATTCAACTATTTGTGCCACAAATCAATACGGTTCGTCACTCAGTCTGTCTGGGGCTTGAAGGCTCAACTGCATGCAATAAACTCGGTGGTCGACAAAGCTAACGATTCCGAAAGGCATTGCTTTGTGAGGAACAAACCTACACGTAAATCAAGAGCAGGTATCCATCTCCATGGCGTCAGGCCGGAGGTTCATCATCCAGCAGTTTTTATGCTGGTTCACAGTCCGCAACATACCAACTGATAGCTGCGTATCAATCCGTTGTGGTCTACTCGTGTGATACACGAATGTTGGAAGAATGTACAGTTTTGCAAAAAAACTACAGATTTATCGCTTAAAGATCATCATTTCGGTTTATCGACAATCCGTGGTTTGTTGAATCAATTGTATAGACTTGAAAAAATCGTTTCGTTTTAGAGAGCTTTCTTCAAGAAAATAACACTTCATTTTATTGCTGAGAGTGCCTTCACTTAAAGCTCCCGTTAAGGAAAACAAAGTCATGAGTAAAAAATTAGGATGCGAACTGATTCGTGAGCATTACCTACGTAACAAGTGATTTTTACACCCAGTCGTTTAAAACATACCATTTGTATCACATACAGGCCCGTTTTGTAGGGGAGAAACACATATAAGAAAAACGCAAGAAGACAGAAATATATCACCGTCATAAATGGAATATCAAGTTATAAATGGAAGTATGGCCCACACGTACCATTTTATTCACAGCTTCCATACGGATCTCATACGGCTTGTAGTATAAATTCTCTCCCAATGTAAGAGTGTATTGCAGAAACTTGCCTCCTTCCAGCGACTTTGTGTTCCATAGCTCGTAGATGCCGTATTCGTTGTTTCCTTTTGCACGAATATGTGCACGATATCGGAAGTCCGGTCCATTGTAGTCTACCGGGGACAGCGGCACCCACTGAAATACCAGTGTTCCGTGCTTTCCACCACCACCAGTTATATTTTGCGGCATTTTGGTGGGTGCTGTTGCCAGCGTTGTGAACCACAGACTGGGTGGGCTTGGAGCTCCAATTCCAAGAGCGTTGATGGCTCGCACTCTCAACCTGTATGCCATGTTAGAGGCCAAGTTTTCAACAAAAGCCATTCTTCGTCCTGCGAGAAGTTGATAAAACAAAATCGATTATTGTGAATATTCATGAAGATCATTCGAAGTTGACCAAACTTTCGATCAGTAAGTAAGCCGGTTCGATTTGTCAGTCAAGCCGTAGTTTACCTACACATCTTACCTTCAGTTGAACATCGCGTTTGCAGGCTATTACCGCTGTGCGATGAGAACAGTCGGTTATTCATCCAACCGTGACAACGAAATCAACCGGATGTCCCAGATCATTGGTGACCTGAGAACCACGGATAGCGTGAGCGCTGTTGGTCACCTTGCGACTCCTTACAAATATCACCGTGTGATGTGCATTTGTGATACCCTTGAAAATCGACTTTTGATGGATGCAGGATGGATGGTTATAACGGTCAATATAAAGCTGTTTCTTGACCATCCCATCCTGTGCCCATTCGAGATAATCCTCCAAGCTAAATAAATCCTACTTAAAAGTAACTGATGGGCTTGAACTGGACCATGAGTCTTATTATGCCAGCTTACTAATGGGAGAATTATTTACAGCTTATCGCGATCCTTGCGATTCGGCTGATGAGAGTTAAACTATAAGCTACGAACGAATCGCGTAACTTAGGTGTCGATATATGTGACACACCCATAACTGGTAACGGAGCATGATTTGATATGTGCCATATCGGATCTGCGTTCCTATTTCGAGTAGTGGAAATGTAAATGCCAAGTGCAGAGTTGCAAAGTGCTTTTCGGACTCGTCATTTTTCCCTCGCTATAAATTCTTCACACGAAATCCTGTCCGTCACGCCTATGCATTATCTATCTAGTTATTTTGGCTTCAACCTATTTCAATTATGGAAACCAACCAAAATACACGAAAGTGCTAATAACATTTGCAAGTGAATTGCCAGGCCGTACGAACAAATCAACGGCAAACTGACAGTTTCACACACCTGTCAATGAATCTCACCGATCTGTTTTCGTTATGGTCGTCTTCAACGACGGTTATTCATTTTCTGTAAAAAGTCTCATTGTGCAAATCCTTCAGATCAGCGTAACTGAAACATCGAGACTGGCCTAACTTCATATTTTGCCGTGTTCTTACAAAAGCAATTCCGGGGTTGGAACTCCTCTGGGGTGAACCTATGATGCCATGCTCCGTCGTTGATCATAGCCGTCAAAGTGGAATAGACCGCAAACTGACAAGAGCTGGGTGTGGCCACCGTGTGGAGCGCCTAAGGCTTTCTACTAAGGCACTTAAGCTAATGAAGAACCATGTTCAGGAAACTGCTTGTGAATAACTATAATATATTCTGGAAAGGCACATGACTTCATCCGTGTAAACAACGGAATGAGGCTGCGCGCATTCTGCCGGCTTATGGCAGAGTCGTGGTTGTGGATGAATGTTGTCTAGTTCGGTTGGCTTATAGTGTTGTGCCATTGCATCTGTAGTTGTGGAATAGATGCTACATGCATGGGGCAACAACCTGGACACAGTAAGTAATCTGTCTCTCCCATGATTCTGTGAAACTGACAATGTGCACTACCATAAACTAGTTCGGAGATGTGTTCTACTCATTTTCTAACCAACTACTCGTATGACCATAAGACCAAATGAAGCTCATATTTTCCCCACTCGCGTCTGATATTAATATGCGTTTGACATGGTTCTAGCTTACAATGAATGCTTTCAATGTATTGCTCCAATGGATACTTTCAATGTAAATGTTCAAACCACTTAATGGTGCTAAATTGTGAGAAGCTACTTACCTAAAGGTAACAGTTCTTCGGTGGCCGTTAATGACAAATTTGATACGACCACCGTCCACTTCTCTGGGGGATCTAGTTTTGCGTTTGCTTCGATCGTGAAGGCAGTGATTGGAGAGAGATGCGTGTTTCCAACGGTCCAGGTAACATTAACCCTATGTGTCCCGATTTGAGGATCAACCATGAGACCTGCGAATTTTCAAAAGTGTGGTGCGTAAATCCGTTGCTTGGTTGATTTGGTAAACCTTAAGACTTATATGCACTTCGCTCAAACTTGAGCATCCTTGATTACGACTAATAATCACTAGAGAAACGGTTAATTATTGCTCAACCATGTTCAAGACAGGTGCTGAGAAAATTCCAGTTTGATAACTGAATCAGTTCACTGGGCAAACGTTATAGAAAATGATCTTGTTCCCAAGCTATTTCAATCATACAAGTGCGGAAATGTACGGCTAATCTCGTAGGCCAAGGAAAAAGGTTGGTTCAAATTCTGCGCAAGCAATGTTGTTGTTAGCTAGAGACTCCTTCAGCTACTAGTATTCCGGCCAACGAGGCTACAGAATTTTCATCGGCCTTTGACTGCATCAATAACTTAAGGTTACCAGAAGTACCAAGAATTATGCTTATTGATATGGAATTCCTCATAAATTGCTACTAAATTATAGTTACGTTTGCCAAAAACACAATCTCAGTGGCATGATTGTCTTTTCAATGGTCTTGCAGCTTGTTTCCTCGCCCTCAGGTTGCAGACATGAGAGTGCTTTTCGTTGATTTAGGAGAGAAATAAACTGTCTGTCCACAACAACTTTTAACCTGGTCTGACGATAAAGCTGAATTTGCCAGCGAAATGAGCAATTCTTCAGCGAGCTTTCTCCGGTGTTTTTCCCACTTGCTTTCTAGCCTTTAACTGGGGAATTATTCTACATTTTTCCGGAGATGGCTTTCTTAAGTATCGGAGTAGGAAGGGATTATCATCCATTTACCTTAGGACAAGCCTCCCGGAGTGGAAGCGCCCCCATCCAATACCCAATATTCTGTTGGTCAAAGCTAAACCAAACAGAGAGAGATCAACCAACAACATATAGGCGAAATTATCGAACACTTTCGAGATACTAAGATAATAGTACCATGTGAAATGGGAATAGTTTCAATAATGAAAGAGTGCATTTAAGGGATCAGAATCAGTGCAGTGAGCGTTCGTCCCAAGTCCTGTTGTAGAAAAACTTAATACATCTCCACACATCTTGCAATTTGTCCACGGTCTTCATTTTGAACATGAAATCCAAATTCAATTGCTTACTTGCATGCTCTGTTTGTGAACTGAGTTTACTGATTACGACACTGAGAAGGCCGTTTTGTTCCGGGTAGTTGTTTGAGGTGAAGTGAATTAGGCGCTCTACTGCAGAATAGATGTTTTCAAGAGCCAAAATCGATTAAATAAATTATAACCTACATTTCAGTATTGAATGAAGAAATGTCCTATGTAGAAGATTTGGATACAAATAAAGGCAAACAAGCCACCGTGAAAAAGTGGCATTGCAAAGAAGAGCACATGACCGTCAGCGAAAAACCAATGTAGTGGTCAAAAGTTCCAGCAGCTATGCGCCGCCGGCAGAGAGACAAATCAAGGGTCGTTAAATAGGACATCAGATTGGAGTTTATTTCCGCTTGGCTTGGATTATAGAGATTCAAGCAAAGAACTACCGGATACGATGAGACGCCAAAATGAAGAATTTGTTCAAGAATTCACAAAGCGCAGGTGGCGAAACTAGAAGGGCAACTTACGAATTGATTATTAGGGTTCTGCAGAAGGCTAGTAGGAGTCTAATTTGAAAGTATACAGATAAGCATTTGATACTGAGAGGAGTCCTTAGAAGACGGTGTTTAGTCTGAGTAGGCAAAAGTGAGGAGACCTCAACCGTATTTCTCGCCATTCATTACACGATCGAGAAGTGAACGGCCATGAAACCAAATCGTTCTTAAAACTACCATCAGAGTAGTCGTCCAACCATGATTTTCAAATGCCTAAATCAAAGAACTACTGTAACTAGTTAGTACTGGTAAATTGTATGTGCCGTTTCTAGATTTTACTGAAGAAATCGACGTCATGATGAGGGTTGCTGCAAGTAAGGTGTGAAAACAGCCACTTAGGGTACTTCTATAACTCGCAACAAGGAATGTGTTCTTCAATTCAGGCTTGAACAAAAGGAAGATATCCCTGGAACCTCGCGCAGTCCTAGCCAGTTTAGTAAATAAAAACAAGGTCAAAATATGAGAATTCGAAACGGACCACCATGGTGGAACATAATTAACCTGCCGCGTCAATCCAAAGGATGAAAGATGTAGAGTGGAATTTTGTAAAAATGTTTTACTGTTAGAACATAAAGTATTTCTGGCGATCTCTATCCCTACCGACTTCAATGATCTACTCACGGGCCACGAATCCGTTTACCGGAAACTGACATACAGTCGATAGAACATTACATAGTTGATGGCCAAAACAATGGATAGTAAGATTTTTATTCCAGCGGAATGGTAAAGCAAGATAGCATCTCTCAGAGTCGAATTGAATACAAATACTGTACGTCTTACCTAGGGGAAGGCCTCGAAAGTCGACTGCAGACAGAGAGCTCAAAATGAGAGCCAAATCCTTTCAATGAAATACAGTTATCCCAAACAAGACTAACATAGATAAGAGAGACCCATGGACGAAACTGATGGGCCATTCATAGACCTGCGTCGAGCCAAGTTTTGAAAGGAGTTTGAAAACTGACTCCAACACTTATCAAGGTAGAAGTCATGGAACGCTGTCGACTGCATAGTGATATCTCCATCATTCCTGTGGTATATCTGTATACAGCATAAGTGGGGCATGTAGCCCATATTCGTATAACTAAGGTTGGCTAACCGGGCCCAAATTTTAATAATTTTTTCCAGATTTGGACACAACTCTACATTACCCAGTGCAGTTACTTGCAGGAATGCACTTGTATTAGCAATAGGAAACGTGGCCCCGATCGGTCACCACTGAAATCACACAATAAATGCCACCACAATCTTCTTGGAGTTCCAAACGGAACAACTAGTCCAAGTTCTGTTGGCTTGCAAATACGATACACTTAAACAGCTTTGACATGAAAATAGAGCCATAGTATCTGATTATATAGTTCTCCATTTATATTCACAGGAAATTGGTTTTCATTTATTAACGAGAGTCCACATACGGTGTTCCGTTACTTTTTCCAACCGCGCCGGACTCCAAGTTGTCCGGCCCCCTGTAACAGACCGGATAGATGTTTGAATAACCTGAGGAACGTGTAGGCAATTATGTGCACTTTGTTGGCATCGCATGTGACACTGATCGGTTGCTTTAGGCTCGTTGGAAGTCGTCACAAAATAATTGATTCTGAACAAAAATAGCTCACCTGCACATGGCCCTGGTGGTCCAGCTACTCTTATGAGTCCACCAGTGGAAATGGAACTCAATGGGGTCTCTGCCACACAAGAGTAATTGCCGGAATTTTCAAATTGTATGTTGGTTATCCGAAGTGTGCCAAAGTAACGACCGTAGGGTCGGAGAAGCTGACTCACATCGTACCGACGTGCATCTAAATCAAGCCGGTCGAACTTAATTTGAACGCCCTAAAATAGTGGAGAGATAAGCGTAATCATGTTACCTATATGTGCGTATGTAATCGGTAACAAACACAATTTATTTGACCACCCGCTTGGATATGAATTAAGAGTGGATAATTTACACCGAGTTTGAATTCCCGCGAAATACAACAAGCTGATAAACCGATGAGTTGTAATATGACAGGGAAATATGGGTAACACGTGGATAGACCCACATATTTGCAATGCTGTGATCAGAAGGGCAGGAATGCATGCGAGAGAGCTTACGTGTAAAAACAGTTTACGGAGCTTATGCTGTGAGCGCATATGGCAAAACTGGAAATTCTAAGTAAATATAAGCAGAGAAATTGGACTGTGAACATACCTAGCCAGTATAACATGAATGCTGAATAATTTT